TAAGGTTATATAATGTTTTGACATGAGTTTGTGTCCTTACTAGCCTCTTTATGAACTCGTATTCCATACAAGCTAATGTAGGATCTGCCATTTGGGGGCCGCACGAAGCACCTTGAGGTATACCCTTTACCTGCATATAAATAACGCCATTAAAAGACTAGACTAGACTCTAATATTGAATCTACCATATACGCTGGACAAAATTATAGGTCCACTCTAAAAAATGCCAAAGCTCACTCTGTTGTCAATAAATTGTTCCAAAATTTGGTACAGCCGTGTGTTTACCAGTCTACTATCAGTCTTCAAAATGGGTCTCGTTTTTGTTTGGTTACTCAAGAAAAAATCAAAAATTTTGAAAAAAGCAGGCTTGAACGCTGAACAAAATTATAGGTCCACCTGGAGTTTTTACTGATTGAAGCACTTCTTAGCTTCCGAATTTTTTTAGGTAGGTACACATCCAAAAGCGTTCAACAGCTGCTTTACTCAAGCTGTGTCATACCTCCAAAAAGGACCGATTATCTGCTTTTTTGCCTTGGAAATGCTTTTACATGTATTTTGCACCAGAAACCTGCATTGAATGAGAAGTTCTGCAATTGCTCAGCTAGATCGGAAGCGATGGGGTTTCACCTACCTTTTGGATGCTTTTTGACGTGAGCATTGAGGAAAAAATCCGACTTTTGCTGCTGATGCAAATCCGCCGTAGACTTAATCGGGAGAGTAAGCCTCAGTTTCCGCCCTAAAACCCTTTATGCATTGTATTATAACCTCAAAATATTGTAGAAGCATTCTTTACACAAGAATAAAGTTGTTCGCCATACTCACAAGTGTTCACAAAACTGCCCTTTGCTTTCTTCCGAAACTTGAGTTGTGCAGAGTAATGATGATGTTTACTCACTTCCAAAATAGCTTGCCAAGTGCCACCTCTCTTAGATTTTTGACAGTAATTATCACTATGTAGTGGATACGGCTTGTATGGTATGTTGTACATGATTTTTCTAAAAAAAAATCTGGTCAAAGCCACAATTAGCTTTGGTGCTTGTCGCAATCAGTTTCTGCAGCATGATTCCCGTAAATTTACTTGAACGCTAGGATGTCCAGAAGGTTGTAACCATGAAATACGGACTCTTCTTCGTATAAGCAATGCCTTTACGTTACTTAATGCTTCTGAGGACATTGTAGAAAAAGTTTGAAGGCAGAAATTTGAGTCAGGATTGCAGTACCGTCAATGTCGGATTTGCTTCAGCAGCAAAAAAGTCGGACCTTTTTCTCAATGCTCACGTCAAAAAGCATCTAGAAGGTAGGTGAAACCCCGTCGCTTCCGACCTAGCTGAGAGACTGCAGAATTTCCTACTCAATGCAGGCTTCTGGAGCGAAATACATGTGAAAGCTTTTCCAAGGCAAAAAAGCAGATAATCGGTCCTTTTCGGAGGTATGATACAGCTTGAATGAAGCAGCTGTTGGACGCTTTTGGATGTGTAGCTACCTGAAAAAATTCGGAAGCTAAGAAATGCTTCAATCAGTAAAAACTCCAGGTGGACCTATAATTTTGTCCAGCCTTCAAGCCTGCTTTTTTCGAAATTTTTGATTCTTTCTTGAATAACCAAACGAAAACGAGACCCATTTTGAAGACTGATAGTAGACTGGTAAACACACGGCTGTACCAAATTTTGGAGTATTTTATTGACAACAGAGTGAGCTATGGCATTTTTTAGAGTGGACCTATAATTTTGTCCAGCACTGTATATTACATCTTCAACTCGATAATAATTGCCTTGTGTCATGTCTGAAGTAGCATATGAGACCTTGTTGACGTGCACTTTATGTATTAGGTTGTAACAGAATTAATGCAGGTTTTTCGCGCATCTTTTTCAAGATTCTGTTTCAGAAAGGGAGAGTGTTTTCTCAAAAAGGTTTGCATGCCATTTGGAAGCTCTTTTCTTCTAGTTTCTTATGCATTCTTTCGTTTCAGTGGAAGTAAATTTTATCTAGAGTTCTGAGCCCATGAATTTGAGAAACCAAATCTAGAAAATCTTCCTTTCAATATACCTGGCTCTAAAACCACCAAAAATGAACTGAATTTGCTGCAAATTTACACAATATTTTTGAGTGAGCTATGTTACAAAATGCATGTTGAATCATGAATTCTGAAAACATTTGAGCCGAGAAATCTCAGGGCAATATTCAACGTCCGCTGTGGTCCGTCTGCCCTACATAAAGATCCTCAATGCGAAGCGACTGCGGAGCTTCCGCTTTATATAGGAAGAACAGATTTTAGACATTCATGGCTGAAAAAATCGGGAGTTGTTCTCCCTATTCAGCCTTGAAAGAATTCAAAAGTTTCAGAAAAGCGATTTTTCAAATTCATAGAAAAGTCGAAAAAATGAGAAGTTTCAAGATTTTTTCAAATATCCTCTGGCAAAGAATTCTTTTCCAATTCCAAGTTTAGCGCTGCTGCACAACCGACCATAGGCTACACAGTGAGTTATATTTGCGCTACCTTACTACATTTGATACTGAGTTATGGTTTTTCAAAGTGAAGGTTTTCCGAAAAAATTCTTGGCAGATTTCTTGCTATAAGATTTTTCTCAGTGAAGTTACAACAACACAATAATGCATTTTGAGTTGAAAAAGGTTTGCTGATTACAACAATTGTTGTTGCACACGAAAAGACTATTTGGGTAAAAAGTTATAATGATCCAAACACAAAATTTAGAATACCTGCATTAATTCTGTTACAACCTAATATTTATAACCTCTCATACAGAGGCTTATAATCTTTCTTTCACGACTTTCGTTTTTTTCGGTTCGTTCACGACATCATGTGGCAAGTTAGTAAAAAGGCTAGAGAAATCTGCTGAATATAGTTCAAGGCTGCTATGAGCTGTCGTCAGTTTCCTCAGCACCTGATTGCTATTTTCTAAAGCCCAAAAATGTTTTATTCTTGTTCTTTGCCAAATTACTTTGCAGTAATTGTAAAAATGCCTTCTTTGGGCAAGTATCAGTTGTAGTGTCTTAGCCAGAGGCTTCAACGTACTTTTTTTTTTAGCACCAGTAATGAATCTGAACTCAATCGGTATTTTGTGCATTTTTAAGATGCCGTAACTAGGAATTACACTACATTCTTCTACAAACTTGATGTTTAAACTGTTAAGAATCCTTCAACAAAACATCGCTTTCACTTAGTCTAGTTGATATGTACGTATATCCGTTCGAAGCCGGCTGTTCCATTCCTTCTTCATCATATGTAAATAGAATTTCTTGCACGTGAAACTGTAATTTGACGTGGCTTTGTCCACTGGAGTTATGATAAAATGTTTTTGTAACTTTCTCAGAATCTCTGCATCATATTCGTTATATTCGATCTGTTATGGATCGTACATATTGAGCAATTTCGTTTTAAGTGTGCTCACTTATCTTCTTTGTAAGCTGAGTTCTAACAGAAGAGCTAGCCTTGATTTTCGAACTTACTTATGAGCTAGCTGTAAACTCAAATCATTTATCACTTTCACAATGTCTCCTTTAGTGATTACCATATGTGCTCTATACTTTGTTCCTTTTTTGAAAATAGATTTCAATTTTCATTCTCTATGAAGCCCAGATTTCCTGTACAGACATGCCTGTGGTAATTATCAACAAATTCTTTGTAGTGTACACACTCACATTCTTGTTTCTCTATGACTTCATGGTAGATTCATTGAGTCTTTTGAGAAAGTTATTATAATTGAACATACTCAGGCCTACTAGTTTTTGCAAATTGTATCGTATTGATACCTTTGTACCGTTTAGTTCATCTGCATCTTGCATATTTATATTATCTATAACTATCCTTTTCATTCTTGTACTGTTGCATAACTTACGAAGTTCAAGTCTGTTTAGGATGTCACCAAGGTAGGGTACGGTTACCATTATTTCTTTCTTTTTTATTTCTCTTTTATCTTTTCTTTCCCAAAACGGTGTGGCAAGTAATGCATATATCTTACATACTATCTTGCACTATTAGAAAGAGCAGGTAACTAAACTATTATAATACTGACTGCTCCGATTTTTCTTGCAGGTTTCCGAAATTTTATAAACCTGCACAGAAAATTCGAATTTTGACTTATTTTCTTCTATCGCTCCTATCTATGCAACAGATGACAATTGATAAGCGATTATAAAGAGCATGACTTACTCTTTCATACAAAAATAGAAACTGTCAAATCGATTGAAAAAAACGCAGAAGTTATGAATTTCTGCAAATGGTGCAAAAGAACTTTCGGGCCACCCTAATATTTGAGCGGAGTCTGACTAAAAAATTTGAATCAAGTGAAGAATGGGCTTTTGCTTAAGATAATTTTTTACCCTTAGACATTTGCATTTAGGGCCTGGAAATTCTGATGAAATTTTGGCTGTAAACAACCAGTAAATGGTATGTTGACAATTATAAGATGCATTTCAATGACACGACATACTATTATTTTACTTCGACAGTTTTTCCCTGCATTCCATCAGAATTCGCCAAGTCTCGCAGATTAGCAGCCAGGTAAGACTCAGAATGCAACCAACGCAGCATTGTTTCTTGATTTGAAAAAGGGACTAGATACACAGACAGATTCACGCTCTTTCACTAGGAGCAGTGCGTGTTCAATACCTTTCTGAAAAAACTCTAAATCAGACGACCTTGTTGGGGATCACTCAAAACTCAAAAAATCTAATGCAAGACTCGAAGATCATATAATACGATGCATACATTGTACGATGGGGACGAGTGGCGTAGTGGTATGAGGCGCCGCTATGACCAGATCGGACACAAGTTCGATCCCCGCCCCTGGGCCAACCAATCTACCGTCCGGGGCCGGTAAATTGGTACCAGAGTAATCTGGGAGGATAAAAGCACTGACCTGGAAACGGCTGGCCTCCGCAAGTCACTGTAATAGGCTCGCACGCACACAATTGCCTCTTCAACTATGAAGTTAGTGTGTGCGTTCGGCGCATGCCCTCGGAGGGTATTGAAGACGCCGAATACTTTATCCTTTACATCGTACGATACATTACTGCTAAAGACATAGAACAGAAGGGCTTGTATTTTCAACCGAGAAGGCAGTATTTGTACATGTACATGTAACTTTACTGAGAAACAAAGGACAGTGATCTCTGTAGTGCGCGTGTGGACCAGTTTCATTACAGAGCCAATGTCACTGCCGTTAAGCATATTATAACAGATGTCGCACCTGAAAAAGCATTATGTTTTAAAGCTAATTCAAACATGAGTCACCATTAGATAACTACCTGTTAGTTGAGCAGATTCATCAGGCATGAGCCACTTTTCAATATTCTGCTCTATGATCTCACGAGCTTTTCTTAGGTCTGGCAAGTCCCTTTCCCTTGGTGGATACAGTCTGCGCAATGGGCAGTGCCTAAGCTTTTGTTCTTATTTGAAACAAATTACAATAGCTATGTAAACCCACCTTTGATTAGGTAGGGGACAACCGAAGGATTGTTAGGCTCATATAGCCCAAGTGCATGCCAAGGATCAATCGAACCGTTTGGGATTACAACATTAGTGCCCTTAAACTCATACTCGTAGCCGTGTGAGGCGAGAATGAAACTCACGTTGAAAAAATCTCTACCGCCGTACTGATGGTTGACTCTATCAATGTTGTTCTGTATGGCCATGGCTGTGTAATTTTCACCAAATAGATCAATGCACATACGTGTAAATAAGCTAGAAAGACACTTATTAGAGCATATTTATTGTGCGAATTATCCAAGGTTTGCGTTTCAAGCGTTGAAATCAATGCACTTTGTTTGGCTTAAGTATTTCAACTTGCATTTTCAGAGCACATCCCATAACCCAAAAAGGTACTCTTTGATTCAACGGGATTGGCTGCTGGAAGGCGGGGCTTGAGCCTAATTAAGGCTGGAGAATGACCAGAGAGCACACTCGCGACAGAGACACAGACTGCGTCGGAGGCGTGAGCGGTCGCCTTCCAGCCGCTCCCGTTGAAACAAAGGGTTGTAGGAATGCTTTCTAAATCATGCAGCGTTTGGAATGTGCTCTAACTTGAAGGTTACATGCAGGTTCTGCTAAGTGTGTTGTACTTCGTCGTTCCTAAACTAGCAAAGGCAAAGGCATTATCCGGAATGTGCTGTGTTGAATGTGCTGAACGGTGCTTGAAGGCAAAGTTACGAGAGCGGGAGGTCAAAGGTAGGGGTACAGTTCATGTATAGTGTATAATACACAGGATAAAGTTCTGCAATAACGGGGAACCAACTAAGCAATCGCTGAATTAATGAGCAAGAAAGCGCTCCATAAGTCCTAGAAACTGCTTGAAAAATGTTTCGGAACCTCGACTCTGCTTCGAACACTTTACACCTTTCCCACCATTGCTCTAATGCGCATTTTGCACTCAAGGACATAGGGTCCCTCGGATTTCAAGTATGACGAGTTGTGCTTCAAATGTAAGGGGCTTGGAATTTTTGGAGGTGGAAACCCGTTTTCCACAATTTTGCGTCTTCCAAGGTGGTTTTAATTCAAGGGGAACAATGGACTCAGAGCACCTGATATGTGACAGAAGCTTTGCCAAGACCCTGACTTCAAGCGTTAAGTTTATATGACAACTTCTAAAGTAGCAAAGCTCTCCTTCGAACGATAGTGTGGGCTTTATCTGTACCGAATATTGTAACTGTGTGCGCACAAAAATTTCGTGTGAAGACGCATGGAAAGTTACTTGAAAGCTTAATAAAAATAGTTTCTAAAATCTGCGAAACTTCTTCTTCTCTTATTGTTAGCATTGCAAACCAATATACGACAAATCTTACTTGACCGGAGTTGGGCTACCAAACATGCCGGATCCTGTGTCGGATGACTGAAAATACCCGAACTCGGTGCACGTTTGCCACGTCCATAAAAGAGCAGCTCCTTCTTCTGCAAACAGAATAGACGTTAGCCGTTTACATCGTATGATCATACGCTATTACGAAGGACAAGCCGCAACAAAAAAGGCTGGTAAACCAGTGTTTGCGCAATACTTTTCACCTAAGCCCCTAAAGTTTGGAGAAAGCGGTGTGGTGTAGATTGAAATAAAGACGTTGTGGCATCCACACGTCCAGCCTAAGTTTTTTCGCACATGTTTCCTACTCCAAAATTCATGGAATATACGCATCACCATACTCCGTATGTTGATTTTAAGGTAGCTAGTACCTTCCTCACTGTTCCTCAACGTTTTTCACTATTGTTCACGGGCTCTTCTTATCTCATCGTTCTAGCTATTCATAGTTTCTCGTTACTCTGCATTGTATTCGCATATCAGCTTTTCTTCAACTGCGATAAACCATTGCATTTACCAGTTTTGCTAAGTCAGTGGAACCTGCGGTCTGAACCGTCCGACCTTTATTCTTTGCTCCATAGGGGCGCGATAGTGTGAGAATTTGCTCATTTCCCTTTCACCCCCAAACCGGGACCAAGGTGACACCCCTCACGCGAGAAAAAATCAACAGTAAGGTAAGGTCAAGCAAAGGAGATATTTGTACGGGAATTGTTTGTGTATTGGAAAGGAGGAAGAAGATTTATAGGCATTCACGAACTTCCAGGAGAAAAAATAGTAGCTTCTGTAGCTGCACAGCAACATCAGCGAGGAAAGTTCCGTAATACAACGTTCCCCTCTGGTTTCAGGGAATAAATAGTTTACCTAGAGTCCGTTCATAGAAGTACCTAGTGAAGGGTGTACCTGGTGATTTCTGGGGATTTTCGAGTTTTTAACATAGAAAAATTCATAACCTCTGCAGATGAATAGCTGGTGCAAGGAAATGGTCACCATCGGAACCGCCTCGTCCTCGCTTTCAGAAAATTTATAGCATGTCTGAGATCCGTCCAAAAAAGTGCCTGTGTGAAGGGTGTGCTTACTGATTTCCGGAGATTTTCGAGTTTTTAACATAAAAAATTCGTAGCTTTTGTAGATGGACAGATGGTCATCATTAGAACCGTGTCGTCCTTCGCTACAGTGCCGGTCAGAAACATAATTGTGTGCTAATCCAGCAGCACATCGCTTCACATTCCAGAAAAAAGACAGTCAGTGATGGCAAGGAATTGAAAATTATAAACTTTGACTAGGAAAAAATGATGAGAAAACACCATGGCTCCCCCCCCCCCCCCCCGGTCGACACTTTATAATTTCTCTGCCAAGTGAAACACCCTTCACTCCGGAGGGGCTGCGACCACTGTGACCCCCTTTACCCTGGAGACCACTGTGACCCCCATTCTCACCTTATCGCACCTACGCTATGCTCTATTCGCGAACAATTCTCTCATCTTATATTAGCGAGACCATTCAACAAGCCTACCTGGTCCATAACGTTGACATTCCTTGAGATCACGAATAAAACCTTCGTAACTGTTTTCCGTTCCCGTGAAATTCTCGCTTCCCTAAAAGTGCATGCTGACAATTGACTTAGCTATGTTGGTGCATAGTGGTGCACACATTAAGAAGTGGGACCTTCCGTTTCAAAAACACACGGTAAAAGAAATAAAAAAGAGACGCTCATATGTCAAAAAATCAGCCTTGATCATCATCTTGGCGTTATCAACATATCTAACTTTCGATTCGGCTTCCCTTCTGTTTTTTAATCTTTAGCCCTTTCTGACCTGGCGGTAAACTGCCACCCTACAATTTTTATCAGTAGTACTGCAGCAACACCAGATTTTCGTTCTCTACCGCCAGGGATCGTTTCAGGCTATCTTTGCCGTCGAGATGGTTATTTGCAATGCCATTTTCTCAATGTTGGTGCTACCAGTTCATGAATCTTTGTAAGCAAAAGAATCACGGAAAAGCGAGAATGTTTGTTGGTTTTAGTACCTGCTAAATAATTGACAGTGATCTAATTAGATGGTAAAATCATGGTCACGTTATTATCAAGCTGTCAAGGAGATGATGTCGATTTATTTGCTTTAAGACAACAACGCTCAACCCGAGAAAGGTCAGGGATACTGTTTGATAAAGCAAAGCAAGCTTTATTCATGATTTCGCGCCAAGTTTGATCTACGCTAAGTTTGGACTCAAAATCTGAAAAATTCTAAATGCCAAAAGATAAAAAAAACGGATCTCCTTCCAAATGATTTCTACGAATCTTTTACTCGCACGTACTCGCATGCGTCTTTACTTTCGATATCAAACTCCCATAGGCAGTTGGTGTATTTTTGCCTGACTAGAAATGAGCAAACTTTCGTGAATTTTTGAAAAATTTTCGTGATTTTCTCAAAGCACAAGCCTATTAAGTATAGTGCAGATTTTCAGCTGATAGATACCAAACCTAGCTCCCTTCTCCTCAGTTTCACTGCTAGATTCGACATTTCTCAAAAAAAGCCCCTCGGAATAGGCTGAAAATTCACAGGTATACTTACTAGACCTATAGCATAGAATTACATGTGAGAAGGCTCAGTATTGCTTTAGGAAAAATACAAAAATTTTCATTTTTCAGTTTCTAGTCAAGAAAAAAATACAGCAACTGCGCTCATGGAAGTTTGATATCGAAAGTAGAGACGCATGCGAGTGAGAGGTCCGCAGAAATCATTTAGAAGGAGATCCGACTTTTTTGGAGAGCTCTTTAGATCTTGAATTCAAATTTTCCGTGGATCAAACTTGGCGCGGAATCATGAATGCTAAAGCTTACCTTGCTCTATCAAACAGTACCTCTCGACCTTTCTCGGGTCATGCCTGGTTGTTTTGCTCAAGCAAGCATATAAAAAACGACTTCAGTTTTTGACAGCCTGATAAAAATTTATAAAGCACAACTTTGTGCGAGATCAGGTGCTAATAATCTAATTAGGCCTGTAGGCACGTATATCCCCGCCGGGAGGGAGAGGATCTGAGAGGGACGTCATATCTCGTTACTCCAAATACCTTTCTTCCTTCTCTATCTCGATCATAAAGGTTTTCATACCCTGATAAATGGTTGCGAGTATTGTCATACAAGATCAGAGTCTCAATATTTTTGTGGTCTTTTGGAGATCCCGTGGATCTCCAGGCGATCACCTTCTCATTTTCTAAGTCATTTATCTTCCTGAAATCTCAATGAAAACGCCCTGAAATTGTTAAGATACCGAAATCTTCGATAAACCATTGCTCGAAAGCTAGAAATTATCAAAAAATTCAAAATCTTCAGATTCCATTTCTTTTGCCGAAAGCATGCTCAGTGCAGTAGCATATCTCCTCAGTACAATTTCATGGCGTTTTCATCAAGATTTTAGTAAGATAAATGACTTTACAATGAGAAGGTGATCGCTTGGAATCCCCAAATGATCACACAAAATATTGAAAGTCTGGTCTTGTGTGACAGTAATTGGTAACTGTTAAGCGCAGGTACAGGGTATGAAAACCTTCATAAAACCTTCACCCCTCCCCTCCCCGCGGGGATGTACATGCATACGGGTCTCAGTCTTTCAGGACTGTTGCGAGAAAATCAGCAAATTGAAAGGAGATATTCAAAAACAAAAACATCCTGTTGCCGAAAGTCTTAAATTTCGCTATGTGGTTTCAGGCCTTCTATATATAAACAAAAGGTAAACTGTAGTTTTCTTTGTTACAGAGAAAAAGTGAGGTTTGAAGCTGAAGTCTTTTTTCATTGCTGTGATACTCCATTCTTCAAAAAATGAAGCTCAGCAGAGGTATAGAAATGGCTTGGCATATAAGTTCATTAGAAAAACGTCTACAAAAAAGGCTGGGATGCAGAAGACCAAGTCAAAGGTAAAGTTATGTGCCCTTATGTGGCATTTGCTTTTCCAGGACAAGAATCAAACTGTTGCTACAGATGGTAATTGCCTATATACTTACCGAGTAAAATTTCGCCATATATTCATTGAAGCGAGCGATGTTTTCTACAGGAGTTTTTCCTTCATTGTTCATGAACTCGCACATTTCCGGTATACCGTAGCCATCAGCGTAAGCCTACTAGATAAACATAGACATAGTATCTAAAAAGTCAAAAAACGAACCCCTGTGTTATCTCCACTATATTGCACTGCGCCTTGGAATTGTCCATATATGACAGAGAAGAAAAACTCCATATCCAAGCTGTTACAATAAGAATATTCGCCCCATTCTGGTACTAATCTGTAACGTAGTTGTTGAAGTGTAAACATAGCAGAGAATTCACAACACTCAGCACTCTGCGTTGATCCTGTGTTTTGCTTCATTTTCTGAATGTGAACTCAAGTAGTATAAAATTCAAGGAAATCAATCCATAACTTCAAAATCTGATTTTTGTGGTGCAAAAATTTTTGATTTATGAAAAGATTACAATAATCAACAACATTCAATGATTGTCAAGAAGCAAGATAATGTGGAATTTGCACCAGAAACAGGCAAGAAAGAACTGACCCTAAATTATTCTAACTACTAACTTATTCAGGTCTTCTTGCAGTGAATTCATCTCGGCCTTCCGTAAAGAGCCTTACGTATTGAATCAGCTTTAAATGCTAATTTCAAATAAGCTTCCTAGCCGTTACGCATCAATCTGCAGCGATTCCAGGATTTTTCTGTGTAAAATTTGCGTGCCTGACTTAATGGCAGGTCATCATCTGAGTGCTAGAACACTTGGATTAAATTTTTAGTCAATGAGAAAGGATTAAAGAGGCTATTTCGGTATCCAGCACCCTTTTCGCGCAGACTTTTCCCTACGGGCAGTCTTCCCAGGTTGAATGATATACCAGTTTCGCACAGTGAAAAGCCCATGATTCGCTAAAAAATGATGCGCCGCAACCAAGAGTAGCGTTTGGAATCAACATTCCAAGCTGATTCAAATTATAATAAATACCTCGTTTTTCTAAAAGCCGAGCTAAGTCTGGTGTCTTTCCTTATTAATCAAAATGTTTCTGGCTTCATGTTCACCAACCGTACGCCGATTGACAGTGCACTGGAAGCTCTTTTGTATAGCGACAATTTGTTCTAGTGTAGACGAGATCGCAGAAAATCTCCGGCGATTGTCATAACGGGTAGAATATTTATTGCTAGTAACGTGCTTCTGAGAAGTACCCTGATTTTACGAGCACAAAACGCACCTTTCTCACTTTTTCAAGAATGAAGCTCGGCCGCATCGGTGTGCTGCGTAATGGTCGCCCTCTCATGCATTCCTTTTAGGTAAGCGACAGCACGATAGAATGACCAGTCGAGAAGTTTTTTGGTGTAATCAGGATATTCGAGTTTAGAAGGTCAGGTGCGTTTTGTGCTCGTGAAATAAGGATGCTAGTGATGGAAGAATAGTTTAGAACTGCTCACGTGAAGAGGTCAGATAGAATCTTTCGTCCAGCAGCGCTGAGAGCAAGCTCATGCATTTTTGCGAAACCCTGAGATACATAGTGTCATCAAATACAACGATTTAGTTCTTAATGCAATCACCTGATGTATTTTACGGGCACATGAATCATCATAATCTCGAATTGCTTTTCCTACAACTTCTAGATATTCTGCAAACAAAATCTCCGAAACTTTGCTCAACAGCGATAATGAGTTGTATCACAAAAAGGTGATCGTGAAACACAATTTGCTTCTGAGCATCAATAACATTTTCGTCCACAATCTTCTTCGCATGCTTGACTTAGCGAGAGCTTGTAGTAGTGATTTTTCTCGAAAAATAAGCAAAGACATGATCGCTATTAGCATCGCACAAAATTTATTCGATGGAAGTAGGAGGGCAAAAACCTTTACTAAATTTAAGGAGCCGCTTTGATTATATCTTCCAAAAAGTTTTTGCAACTTTCTTCATTAGCGGCGGCACACAACCTTTGAAAACCTTAAATTTTTTAAAAATATACCTTTTCCACAAGCTTACGGTAATTGCAATTGTTTCTAAGCCAATCATGCCTCCGCCACTAGAGCTTACATGATTTGTTTGAACAGCGTGAGAGTTGTTGTTTCATACTGCAGTAGCCTCATAATTGCAGTCATTTTGGAGCAGGCAAAAGATTTTGATTAATTGACTGCTGTTGTTAGAGCCACTGTAGAATGAAACAACCTAAAGGAAAAGCGAATCGACATTTGCTGAAAACGAAACTAGCTAACCATAAAAATCTAGTTTAGCTTCCACTGGTGCGGATGAACCAACAGCTCCAGTGATCAACTCCGGAAAGAGTTGCCGCGCCCATACAGCCAAATTACCTAAACATTAATTCGCCTTCATTATCCGAAAATTATAGATCGTTGGTGAAAAAAAAGCAGTTCAGCCACGACGAAGCTTTCCTCCCACTTTGAGTTGAGTGGAGATCACAACCGCATTGTATTTATGCTGTGTTTTTGTACTACTGTCTGCCCTTCTTCTGTTACCTGCATAGGAGCCACCGAAAACAATCCAAGGACCACTATTGCCTGAGTGATAGTTGACGCTTTGTATGTAGTCTGCCACGTCTACAACATTTGCAACGATGACAAATATCTGAGGTCTGGGTTTGGATTTTCCTCTGTCCTGAAGATTATGCAAATGAGGAGTGATTTCTGTGTTGCATTCATACGATCCTACCCTCCAACTATGCTTTCGCCGTAGTATCTGTGCTCAAGAAAATGTACAGTGGCGCCATATTTCTTGGCCCATTGTAGATATGGTAAGTCTTCATTTACAATCCACTTCGTGTTCTGTGGTGACTCTCCTCCAATTTTCAAAAAATTGGGACCGTTAGGTTTGGCCCATTGGGAGTTCACAAGCACTTGCTGCAAACATCAACAAAGTTAGTTTCTAGAATAAAAATGGCGGGAGGTTGAAGCTTCGCCGAAGTCAATTCAAAACCGTTACAACTAACGTAACCTTGACGCTCTAAACGCAGTGTCTTTTTCCCATCATGAAAGGAAACTGAAGCATATTATGTTAATGATGAGCCGGTAGTCGTGTTAGATCTTCGGGAAACAATTTTAGGCGTTGGCTCGGATTACCGCTACTACCCTTTTCACGCGTATAAGACGCACCTTTCCCAGTTTTTCAAGCGTGCCGCTCAGCCGCTTCGTTGTGTTTCGAAACGAGACTTATGCCGCACAATACTCTAAGACAGTATGTGGACCTTTAGATAGTTTTTGTTTGCGAAGTCCTTCGGCGTATCTTTGCTGTTCGATTCAACCTCCCCCCCCCCCTCCGCCTTGGCATTCGAGAATCGCTCATAGAACGCATCCTACAACCCTAACGCATCTTACGTTCCCTTCAATATGATGTGAAGGTAATCAGTGCTTTGAATAATTGTTTGTTGTTATGAGATCTCTCACAGTTGTCGCCTCAATGCAGCGTGGGGGGCGGTCCCGGGCGCTGAACTGCAATGGACAGCTGAGTATATGCTCTGGAAGGATCTCCCGGCGTTCTGCTATGCAGCTGAGACTTAAGGCGACACTGTACACAGAGAGCTCTAGCGCAGTCTCTGAAGAAGGCTTGACACATATAACATCTTCATCGGATGCAGTACGGATGTGAGAAGAATGTCCCGTCTTCGTGACCTAGCGGAATAGTTGCGAAAGCGAAGCATCGATGGGTCGGTCACATCATCAGATGAACAGACGACAGATGGACACTAAGAATATTGGAATGAATTCTTTGCGAAGTGAAACGTCCCCGAGGATGATCACCAACGAGATGGGCGGACGTTTTTGTGAAACGAATGAACCAGCTGGGAAACCAGCTGGATACGATTTTCGCACCTGGAACTCGTGGACGCAGCCAACGACAACCAAAAAGATTTTGGATGTCTTGAGCGAGGGACAGAGAACACTGGACTTCTGAGCTGGGGCCAACGTCACGTGAAGACGGGCCATCTAACAATAAGTATCTAAGTAAGTAAGGTCAATAGATAGTTGAGAAACACAAATTTTTTTAGGCCTCCGTCAAAACACGCCTGACATATTGCCTTTAGAAATTTGTTCCTGATGAATATCGGAGTGGCATTGATTTGGTCCTCTCACATGATGTAATGATTTCATCATGGTTACGTCATGCATCTTCTTGTGGTCTCTCACATTAATCGATCACACAACCGAAACAAGCAAGTAACCAACAGCACTTTAATTTTGGCTATTCAATAAAATATAATGATCAAGGTTATAATTCTGATGTGCAAACTTGTCCTTAACAAATGATACATTGCTGAATACCTGTCTGAAATAGTTATGATTGTGACTGTCAAAATGATCGTATGGTTGAAGAAAATACATGGTCTTGTAGCTAGTGTTAGCGAAGTTCTCGTGAGTCTGCAAATCATATCGTGTAAAATGAGTATCTCTGTGCCAATGAAGCACATTATAACCTTATCAGGTGGAGGTACGAAACCATGTGGAGGTCTGCCTAGAAAGACTCTCCTGCTGTGTTCCCGTTTTGGATATGTCTAAAAGTGAATAAACAAGTATAAATACCCGCGAGACAAGTGATATCAATTACCTTTGCTTTAGCAGGTTGTTACAGTAGGTTTTCTCTGCTCTGGCTTTAGCAAAGCTCGAGATTGTGGTCTCGTCCAAGTTTTCAAATGCGATCCTGCCCAACAACAGCTTGCAAGTTTTGTCATCATTTTTGTTTAGAGTTGATTCAAAATAATTTAGATAACGGTGGTTTTTATCAATTGAGTAATGGTTATAGCACCAAAAGCGAAACTCAGATCACTATAGAGGTTTCATTTGATAGAGATAAACACTCATATTTTGTGAATTTCTTTATTAACACAAAAATGCTGAAGGTTTTATCACATTATTTCGCTGTCATTACTGCACATTCCCGACAAAATTCTGACACTCAAAAAATTGATCAAATGTCTTCAAGCTTTGTGGATTTTTTAAGGACATAACAAAAAACCCCTTTGTTCCTATAATCTTGAAAATTAGAGCTATTCTTAAAGTGTATCTCGCGCAAAGAGAAAGATTTAAGTGTTTGCGATTTGCCGATATTACGAACCAAAACCCTACAAGGAAGGGCCATTTCAGATTGGGCAAATCCTTCCTTCTAGATCTTTTTGTCATCAAACCTATTCGAAACTAAAATTATTACGAATTTGTGCGAAGGATGTAACTTTTGCTCCCGCTCAATCTGCTATTTGAGTGATGTCAAGAGCCAGTACCGTTGTCTCCATGTTTTAATCCGCTTTTCAGCCACTTCGCAAGGTTTTTCTCGATCAGAAGGCGCACTTCCTTCAATCCTGATGTGTCATTATCAGAAGGCGGGTACATATCCGCGCAAGGCGATGTTCCTAATTTATTAATCATGAGATCCTCCTCTCCAATTATTAACAAACTGACCATTTATCAAGTACCAAACGACGGATTCGTCATTGGAAGTGTATTTACCCAGTGCATGCCAAGGATCAATAGATCCATTAGGAATAACGACATTAGTACCCTAGGGTTGCATAAGTCAGAAATGATTGGTCAACCGATATGATCTTGAAGAAAAACATAGTTTAGAGATTATTATTTTCTCCAAGAACTTTTACGTCTTCGTGGGTTTTATGAATTAAGCTTGTTAAACGTTGGCATTGTACAAAACACATGGCGCAGAAAATTGTTATCTCACTTTATATCTCTCTGATCCACCGTATTCCATTTGCGTTCTATGTACAGCTGCTGCTATAGTTGTGCTGTTGTACGTACTTCCAAACACATCGGCACACATATCAATGTACAACCTGTAGACTGGACTGCTCAACACCCTCATAAAAAGTCTTTGGATGCAATCATAGCACTTGACAAAATCACGAGTGCGCACGTTAATGGAGTGCCAGAACCGAAAATTCCCTTTGGACCACCATCGGTAGATTGGTAGTAACCAAATTCTGTGCATGTCTGCCATAACCAGCTTCGAGCACTAGCTAAAAACATCACTGGAATCAGTTGATCTTTGGAATTTGATAATGCCTGTCAAACTTTCATTTCTGCGAGAATAACTTTGAAGAGTGTTGGAATTCTAGAGACGCTATGAGCACAGCTGGAATCAACGTTTGCATTGACCTCCTTTTTTAGTTGTTTCATTACATGCAAAGCACTTTCAAAAGAAAATCTTTCAAGTGTTTGAGATCACATCTTTCGCGCCAGTTCCGCATTAGCTATTGCTGACTTGGAGACTTTTGTGAAGGCAGTATCTTCCTTCCAACTAATGGAGACGGCATGCCGCAGACTACAAACATAAGGGTCCCATAACGATTCTTTTTCTCCAGCTTTGGCGGAGAGTTCCCCTCTGTCGAATTCGAATTTAAGGACTTTGAAACTGATCGTTTCCGCAGTTGTTGCGGTGTTTGTCGTGGAAATTTGAAATCAGCGCCTTAGATTTTTACAGGTAAAAGAAATTTCTGGGTCGAAGATTTGCAGAGCCTTGATAATAAGTTACGAGCTTCACAGCTTTGCCTACAAGTTTTAATTTGATGTTATGGTGGCAAAACATGTCGTTTAACTTGGTTCCGCGTAAAGTTCTTCATGAGATACGCAACCAGCTGCTGCAGGTAAATGAAAGCAAGGATGCTACATCAAATGGTTGAGCGAAATAAACACACTCACAGTCAAAGTCAAGTTCACTGCCAAATTGTGGTCTTCGATGATATTCTATCATCTCGTTGTAGCTGTTGGAAGTGTATTCGAAATCTTTGTAGCCTAGAACAAACCTTCAGAAACTGACGTTTATTTGGGCACGTACTCATGTACACGTTCACATTCTGAAGTTGCTGCAAATGATCCGAGCCGTTAGTCATTATTTCGCAAATTTCCGAAATGCCATAACCGTTAGCGAACCTGCCCTAAAACCAAGAAAATGTTTTTCTCTACGTCAACTTTACTGTATCTCATAACTATTGTTATCCTTCAGCAAGCTCTCAAACAGCATTTCTAGAGGAAGAAATGCAGATTGAACAAAAGTCACAACTTAATCGACCCTTTCGCTATCGTCCCACACCACTTGTACAATCCTAGTGGAAATTTTGTACTGAACAAGCTGAGAGTTTATATGGTGTTGGCAGTGGTGTACCTTTTCCGAATATGTACTATATATGTCAGATATAAAAGTCTGCACTTTCCTTACCTGATGTGTAGCGGGATTGCAATGCTATTACCTACGAAATTTACTATAGAAGCTACTAGTTGGCAAACCCGGCTCCGCCCGGGCCTGTCAATAATATATTTGTAATCAGCATGCTCGATTACCCCCCTGCGCCAACTCCCAGCCCTGTAGCCCAAATTTTGCAAAAAATCGGTAAAATCGACATCGATCGATAACGAAAAGTAGCCTATGACACGCTCCCTGCCCCGAAGTATATGTGTGCCAAGTTTGGTCCAAATCGGTTCAGAAATAAAAATTTCTATTCCGCACATACGTACAGACAGACATACAGACATACATACAGACAGACATTCAGCTTTATATATAAGATATGTTCCTTCGTTCCAAGAAATATTTCGCTTTTTTCAAATGAACGCCACAACATGGAACAAAGTTTCTGAGGAATCTTGGTAGCATTCGACGCATCAATTCATCCTCTTTCTAACGGTCATAAAACCACTGTGGCACAATCATTTCTGAGAGAATTGCCAAAATATGCGAACCGTGCTTGAGATAGTCAAATTTTACAACTTTTCTAAACTTCATCAACCCTCCGAAGAGGTCCAAGAAACGATTCTACTGGGCAAGACCTACAAGGAACAGTACAACTTTTTTCTTTTTTCCACAGCTCACCATGATTTTTCTGAAGATTTACCAAAACCGTTAGCTTTTGGCAGGCCTACGCAGTTAAAATCGCACCAAACACTAAAAATTCTTTGAAATTTTAAATTCCAAGTTGGTAGATTTGACACTAACTTTACAAAGCAAATGAGAGTTCACAGACTTAAGATATCAAATTTCGAATTTTTTGGGTACTGCCGAGCGCGTTTGAAAACCTGGATTGTGATGATTTCATCACTGAAGACTCCACGAATGAGAAGAGAACGCTTTATAAAGAGGAGACAAAGGTACATCAAATAGCACCCGAGCTGCCTCATTGATGTTCTATGAATTTTTAGTTGACCAAGTACGGAAATGGGTAGCATCAGTTAGAATTCAACTAAAAGATAATAAAAAGTAATGGGAAAAAGAGGGAAATTGTTTTGCATCTGGTAGAGTTTGGAAGGTTTGTTCCATCCATACGTTACTTGGACTCCTGCGAGTGGTCGGTAAGAAATGAAATATAGCGAAAGTTGGCTATGGCAAAAACCGTGGCTCGTGTTTTGTCATAGTTTTTCAACTGCTCATTGAATTCCGCTGCACTGAATTTACAACCACTAGAAAAAGGATAAGATGCTGCATCGAATGCTACAAGAACTTCTAGAAATATGTTTACAGGCGAGTAGATTTCGCGGTAAATATAGTGCGCCTGCAGATGCGGCAGCACTTACGCGTGTATAATTGCCGCCGAATGAGAAGTTCTAGGTAATTCCGGTGTTTTCTTTGCTCACTCTTCATTTTTCAGGTATGCTTCAATCGACTAAGAGAAGAAGGTAAGTTAAAAACAGTTTTGTCATTTTGAACAGTCAAATCGTCGGTTTTGAGTTCATTTGAGTTCAGATGTACCTCTTGAGAGCTGCATCACCTTTGACGTTTGTGAGATAACCCTTTCTTTCAACTCTTTTCTATCGAAATACGTTTTCTCACCATAATAGGTCTCTTCATAGTCGAAATACACCAACAGTGGTCACCTGAAAGTAACATTGTCTATCATCAGTACTCTATTTTACAAGTGAAAGTCAAATAAACGAAGAAAACTACTAGCGCGGTATAAAAACGTTCTTCGATGGAAAGGAGATGAAAGAAAGGGTAATATCACAAACGCCAAAGGCGATGCAGCTCTCAGGAGTATATCTGAACTCGAATGAACTCAAAACCGACGATTTGACTGTTCAAAATAAACAAAATACTTTCTTACTTACCTTCTTCTCCTAGTCGACTGAAGCATACCTGAAAAATGAAGAGTGAACAAGAAAAACACCGGAATTACCTAGAACTTCTCCTTCGGCGGCAATTATTCACGCGCAAGTGCTGTCGCATCTGCAGGCGTACTATATTTACCGCGAAATCTACTCGACTGTATATGTTCATCAAAACGTGGCGTTCATTTGAAAAAAAGCGAAATTACTCTCAGAATGACCTAATACAAAAAGAAAAAGAAGGAGAAGGCAGTGGCTGTCTTAGGCCAGGTTCCTGAACAGTTGATGCAACCTAGATGCGTTCTCCAAATATAGGTGAAACAGAAAAACTAAACTTCTTTCTGTGAACACCGAAAATTATTCTTTGAGTCTCTTTTGCTTTCTTATGTGCAACTTAGATGTGATCTAGCAAAAGATTCTTGTAGTTAAAGCTTATTTCAAAATATCTATAAACTAAATCGCTTTAACTTACACTTTAACTGACGATCTGAGTATTACATACTGATAAGGTAATTTTATATTATGCTACCTGATTGTCTTGACTGTACTGAACTGCTTCTTGGAACTTTTCGAAAATTGTCATGTAGAAGAATTGCTTGTCGTCATAAGTGATCTTCGTAAACTCTGGGAATCTCGGTTTCAACCTGAGATTAGAGACTTAGTCTGATCGTAAAATGTGAGATATCTTACACGAAAATATCAGATAGTTGACTGCGGCCTTCTGGACTGAGCATCAAGTGCTCAATAGCTGCAAATCCTTTCCAAACGTTCAAAGCGCATTCACGACTATGAGTACGCAAAGCGTTCTCCACAACGTCCAAGTAACCTTAATTAGATGAGCTTATCATGCGCAATGAAACGTGATCCCAGGTGTTTGCGGAGTGTGCTGCTCACCCCAAAAATCAACTACTGCGTTCACTGGTGCAGAACTTCCTACGGCACCGACAATCAAATCTGGAATCTTTTGACGGGCCCAAAGTGAAAGAGCACCTAAAACTTTCACATTACAAAATCTCGTGGTAAGGATGGATTTTTTATGACATAGATGATGTTACAAATTCCTTCAACTCTGACTTGGGTAATAGTTTCACATTATCATGCTAATGATAGCTAAAACTTGAACTCTGCCCGATTGCTTAAGGCTTGTGTGAATGTAAAGATCAAATTCGCAAATGAAAAGATTTGATAGAGATGGATGGATATGCATCGGAATAACTACCTTCAATATGCCATGTACTTCTGCTGGCTTTGAGTTTGAGCGATAAACGAAAGCATAGAGTTGTTTCATCCTGCAGTCGCTGCGGCGAGTGCCTCAAATCGGCGCGGGCAAAAGATATCGATCGATTGACCACCGTTGCTGCAGCGACTGCAGTATGAAACAACTCATAATGTTCACTTGCACCTTAATCTTTCTGGCGCGGACGCTAACAAGGGAATGGTCAGAAGTCGGCCAAGCCAAACAAGCTGTATACCGTTCGATGCAGTGTAAAACGCTGACTTCAAATCTGTCTTCCTTATCTGCTTCTCGCTTCTGTGGACGCAGTTACAAGCGGTTTTATTGTGAACCAATCATACATAAAAACAGCAAAATTGAGCACATTGCTGCACTTTTAGCTCAGCTTCTGGCTTTGGAAATTTGAAATAAGCTAGCTGCATGTTTTGGCCCAGCATTAAGGCGAACGTGGCTCTGCACGGCTAAATTTTCAATTTCACGCGTAATTTCTTAGTAAAATAATGATCTTTAATGGCTTATAGCTTCGTCCAGAAAAGCGATAAGCAGGTAAAGAAGACAGATTTAGAGTCAGCGCTGTATGCTGCATCTAATGGTATGCAGCTTGTCTGGGTTGGCCACTTCGATTTCTGAACCATTCTCTTGTAAGACTAGAACCATATCAGGATGGTTTTGAATGAAGCGTGTAGAGTGAGTATAACTTAATATATACCAACAATACCTAGAAAACGAGTCTTGTTGCCTTATTCGTGCTGAAAATGAGATTTTTGCGAGATCGCTTAAAAAAGCAGCAATGTCTCATATATCAGTTTTTCGACTATGTATGAGTTCCGGAGACCCAAAAAGACCGATGGTTAACAATATAAGACAACAACAGCGCTCGAAACTTAGACGAAGAGCCAAAATGCGCTTTATCTCTTTATGAAGTGGTCTTCAGCCTCGGCGACATTGTCATATCATCTAGTCATCTCATGACGATCATGATATATAAGTTTCAGGTTTGCGTCAAGAATCCACGGAAAACTCAGAACAGAGCCGAATGCCTCGTTTGCTTTGATGTTTCTTCTTTGTTTTTCTGCGTCTCGACTTGTCACGCACTGCCACGCCACCAAGATATTTTCACGGGTTTTTTTGGGGAACGTCCGGAAGGTGACAAATGACCTAGAACAGGCGCAGCTAGTGGCCACGCCCTGTCCGAGTTTCTCGTCGTTAAAATGCTCTGTATATTTGGATTGGAGCGCCTTTATACCCGTTGCGCATGGCTCTCTTTTTGACTTTGACGTTTCTCGTATGTTTTATTAAACTGTTGCTTTTGTCTCATATAAGTTGCATATTATATTGCTCACTGGAGTAATGCGATAGCTGACTTTCCTTTGCATATGCCTATCTATTAACATATGTTCTTCAGAACTTCCTTTTGTGAAAGATTTTGTTTCAGGCTCTGAGTAGTATATGTACATAAATGCAGGTGAAAACATCATCACAGTAAGGAGGTTAGTAGGTTCTGCGTTCTTGAGTGATATGATACTTTGTATTTTGTCCTAGTTTAGTTAACTATGTATTTTGTCCTAATTTAGTTAACTACGTACCACGTTTTTATGTCTTAAGTAGTTCTTGTGCAGCGTCCAAACTGATGATGTGGATAGAATGTGAGTGAAACCAATCAACAGCCGTAGTGTAAGCTAATCGAGTAAAGGTGAGCGATTCGTCCACATGCATTTTCTCTGCAATTCGTCTTTTCTTCAGGCTGATCACAGAAGAGCATTTGGAGCCATTCGAGCAAGGATACCATTTGCGGTGGGGTCTCGATTTTAGACTGTTCGAGCATTTCATTTTTTTGATTAGCTGTTGCTACATTGTGATGTCTTAGCGATTGACCATTCTTTTTTTATTGTTAGTATTGCTGCATGTTTATTGAGAATAAAAGATTGCCGTTCAAATTGTAGGACAGAGAAAAGCGCAAGAAAAAACACGAGAAAAGCTAAAGGTGAAGAACTGATTATGGGAAGATTTTCGAGTTTGCTAAGCGGGTTGAGTAGTTAGACATTGGATCTCCGGCAAAACGATTCTATATCCTCCCGGTGAAAGGGAGCTGCTTTGCACAGTATGGTTGTTTAGTTCATCTTGTCTTTCAAACAACCACGCTATGCCTTTGTCATTCCTGATTTCTTCGTGACAAGCCATTCGTTGCGATATGATAACATGGACATAACTTCCATTTGCCCCACTAGTTCCAGAGAAACGAAAGTATGCATCATATAATCATTGACCATAGTAAAAATTAGCAATGTAAGACTTTTGCATGAGCCTACTTATAAGCAAACATTACCAGTTGCCCTAGTTCATATATCGTTTCCTCCAAATCACAATCTGAAAACGACAAATCGACTTCCGTAAATCAAAGGAAACTTGAAAAATGCGGAAAAACTGCACTCCTTAGCAAGAACGCGCTGAAGAAATTGATCTGCTTACATCCCGTCTATCGGATGCTCAATTGCATGCTTCTCTCATTTGTCTAGAGCTATATGGCGTTTCTGTTACGTTTGTTCTTTTTGATTTTGTACTGAGAAAATATAACGTTACATCACCAAACTTATGAACAAGTAATCATAAAGAGATAAACAGAGTAAAGTAACATTTATCCCGTGCACTTCTTAGCCGTGTTTGACCTTACGCAATAAGAGAATCAATAGGAGCCACGAAGAAGGCTGTCACCATTGGTGTGCCAGCGCGTTAGCCTAAAGAGCGTCAGTCTCTGGCCTCGTTGATCCGCGCTCAGTGTCACAGGCGCTCATGGAGGGCGTGGCCTCCATACGCTCGCTCCAACTGGGTTTTGTCGCCTTCCGGACTACACCCGGTTTTTTTGTGCATTTGATACATCTTGCCTTTGCTAATGTAGACAACGTCGTCGACCTTACGTTTTCTTACGTGGCAAATTATTAAACTGCAAAGGGTAAGTTTTTCCTCACAGTTCTTTTTTAAACATTACGTAACCATTTTTTTCTTTTATAGGGGTTTCTTACTCACGGTGGTGAGCACAACGCAGGCAATGCCGCCGGAAACAGAAGCGACAAATATGAGAAGAAATCAAAAAACGCATTGGAGGTTAGATTGGCTTTGGTGTGCGTTTCAAGTCTATAAAAGCAAAAATTTTTGTTTACATAATTGCTTTACGTGTTTATGTTCTTCTTGGTCATCGACACTTTCGAACGTGATTGCCCTTGAGACAACTGCAAAAAAAGGAAATCAGCCTTTCCTCGTTTTCCCTGAGTTACGAAACAATGGGTTGAAGAGAAAACCTGCGTTTCAAAAACTGCCAAAAGAAAGATTTCAAACATTTTGCAGCGTTTTTACCCGGTTCTACACACTTTCTTTTACTTTTGCTTTTAGTTCGAGTCTCTTTTTCTTCTTCATTTTCTCCTAGACACCTTTACTTTTTATAGCGGACAGGGTCTTGAACAACTTTTAATTTTTGATTCCAATTTTTAAACAGACTTTAATTTTAATTTTGATTCTGTCTCTATACTATCAAAAGTACGCATCTGTTGGAACTTTCACATAGAACGCACTACGTTTCAGTTTACCATAAGTTATCAGGTTGTCGCATAATCAATGCGCTTTCTCCAAACTGATTTTTCAAGGCTAATTTTCGAAGGACTCCATTCCCTCAAAGAAAGTTTTCTTGATATCTGGAAGCCGTTCTTTTGGTTCTCATATACGTCGTTTTCGCAGATGTCTGTTCCAGAGTTTCAGAGTCTCTGCCTTCTAAGAAAAGAGGGCGTTGAAATGTTTCCTTCCACTCTTTTGCCCTAACATAAAAATAGTCTGATTTGACTATGAAAAATATGTTATGATTGCGAGCTTTTACGCTGTATGTGCTCGCCAAAAGTGATTGCAGGTTTTGAGTCGAAAAAACCTCACCACACTTTGACGACCGTGCGCATACGCGCTTATGCACTTCCTAACTCCCCTTTAGCACTTCTTGCATCACTTTTTCATATGTAAGCAAAAAGTTCTAAGGTAGCTCCTACACAGTAATGATACGAGTGGTCTGGTTGTATATAGAGCACAAGGCACCGCGATAGCTGCTCAGGAGCTCAAAGAGCAGATGTAGATATTCGGTCCATTTTGATATGGCCCAAAATGGCTCGGTAGTCAACGTGTTAAACCTTTATCGTTGCAGTCACTCTATATTGTACAAAACTCTTATGCAAAAAAACAATATCATCTCAAAGTAATCGAAAAGTGCGACTGTCTTTAAATCTCGGCATGATGAATATTGTGTTGACTTAATTGTTGAGCTCTTTTTTTAGCTTTTTCTCACAAGAACATTCTCATCCACTCCCGCTCAGCGCATCCTCTACAGACCAAAAAAGCAGTGATCAAAAACATGTTTCGTACCGCTGCAAAGGTGTGTAGTGGACGAGAGGAGAAGATGGAGTCGTTGGCCGTTGCACGTAAGATAGCTTTATCTAACGGTTATGAAAACAGGATGACGCATTGTAGGGCCCAACAAAGCAGCTTTGTAGAAAGGAGAGCATCACCCGCAGCAGAGAAGATACCTTTCTGTATACCCTTCATCTCCGATGAAGTGAGCACCGCCATTCGGCGATGTCTGAGGAGAGCAGGGTTGAACAACTCAGTTTTGGTAGTGGACATGCCTCCGAACAATTTGAAACGCATTCTTATTCGGAATCGCATGTATGATCGTAATTGCACTACGTCAAACTGTCTAATATGTCCCACAGCAAAGGACGGTGACTGCATGAGCGCGGGAGTTGTCTACCTCATCTCATGCAAAGATTGCGGAGCCGAGTATATCGGTGAAACAGCACGTCCCTTATGCGTACGCATCAAGGAACATCTCAATGGCAAAGAAGGATCACGCTTATCCACTCCACTGGGCGCCCCTAGAGTGCAAGAGCATGAAGGAGTGAATTTTGAAGTAAATGTAGAGATCTTAGCGCGTGAACCTCAAACATCTACTCCCAAGAATTTGGAAGCGTTTTGGATTCATTTCAAACAACCCAAAATGAATCGCAAAGATGAATGCCTCTCTATCACACGCGAGCTCGCACCATATCTAGATCAGATTTTCTGATCCGGTGAAGACATGTTCAATCATTCACTTACGTTATCAGTTAGCGCTCGTTTATACTCGAGAATCTTACCGGCGATGAAAAGGTGAGTATTGCGTGTGGCAGCTTGCCTGTGATCCGAAAGAAAGCTTAGAATTTTGTTTGTGAGGCTGAGGAAATGCTTGAATCGGATAGTTTATAAATTGTTGTCGCCCATTTCAGGCTCTGAAGAAGGCGAGCCGAAACGTCAGCCTAATAAATATATCTACCAATCTCGGACTGGCTCAACAATTAAGTCAACATACCATCTCACTTTGTACAAGTGGGTTGATTTAGTACAAGTATTGGTAGGATAATGGAAATAGATTGCAACTTTTCAGACAAAGTTGAAGGATTGAAAAGGTATTTTTTTGCCTCTAAAATGCCAAAAAGGGGGTACTTTGAACTTTATTGCTGTTTCTTTGCAATGGAAATTCATGATCCAAGCTTCACGCCACGGTTCAACCGACCACTGGTGATACAGTAAGCGAACCTACCTTAGTACAGATTTTGGTAAAATTTGGGATTGAGGTATTTTTCCTCAGACTAGAAAATTTCAGAAGAAAAATTTTGCAGTTTTGCTAGAATCTCGTAGAAATTATAATTATGCAAAGCTATGTGGTCAAAAGTATGTTGTTTGCGAGTTCCTCTTACATTCAGTAAAATTCTATAAGAGTTGAACTAATGCACTAAATGTGAGACATTTTATTTTATTGTCTTGAGTAAGCAGTGCTGTTGAAAAAGCATTTCAAAAAGATGCGGTGTAAGTCCTTGTTCAGTCAACTTTTCGAGGGCTATGTTTCTTATCAGTAAGCAAATACTACCTGAATAAGATCCTCCAAAAGTTATCCAGCGTGGATTTTCAAGATGGTGCTCCCTGTTCATAGCTTCGATAAAGAATGCTATATCCTCAAGTGCTTGTCTACTACTCAGATAACGCAAGTTTTCCACCGACTGGTCACTAAAGTACTTCAAGCAAAAAATTTATGCAAACGTACCGAATTTATAGAACTAAGGGGGTTGGCTGACTTTTTCCGTAGAATCTATGTTCGAGTGCAAACATCATAGCTCCAAATTGCTCCGCCCACTTGACAAATGGGTACTCTTTATTACTTACCTGAAATCAGCCTTCAACGAAATCTGGATTTTACTGGTGTCTGAGCGCTTTAAGCGATATCAGCTATTTGGCTGGAGGGAGCAGCAGTCAGATCTCACATTATCTACTTCTATCATTTCTACCACACCAATCACCCACCCATCTGATGTTCTCGGGTCCTTCGCCTCCTATCATAAGAAAGACGATGTTCGATCCTTTATAGTATTGAGCATTTTGAAAATAACGCTACAACTTGCTTTCTCGATTAGTGGGTCAATGGAACAAAAATAGATATTGGGTAAAAAGTACCTGTTGCCATCTGAAACTATTATTAGAATCAAAATGATCAAGTTTTTGCTCGAAGAATTTCTCAGCCGGTCCATCCGCGATGACAGCTTCAGGGACCTAAATGTTAAAGTACATCTTGCAACAGCGGGCGCTTGAAGTGAAATTTTTGTGCCTCGTTTACTAGAGACTGTCCTGTTTCCTTTTTTGATAGAAGGAGTTGCAAGTGCTCGTGGCCGTTTCTCATTCCGAACATGGGGCGTCCCAGGAAGAACTGAGGCTCCCAGGACCACACAGTCCAAATCTGAACATTAATCCACTCCATTTTAAAAATCGATTGTTTGCAATGTTTAGTGGATGAATGTTAGCAAGCATATATGTTATCCCATCTGCATATGCAGAGACTATGGTGTCTGAATGAGAATAAAATGTGTTTACTTTTTGGGAATGTCTCGATGCCCTACGGTTTTGGCTTAGCATCAATTTGAGGATGCAAGAATCCCTTACGTTTGAACATTAACATATCAATAATTGCCAGTCTTACCAAAGAAACTTGAAAATAGTCATGGTTTTTCAATAAGGTCTAGAGAAAATTTTCTTGCGTTGTGGGACTTTCCTCCTTTTCGTCATATCAGCACAAGCGCGTGAACTAAGTTTACTATTTCTGATGGCTTTTGTTGTACACAAAAGTACAGAGTGACAAGGCTAGAGCTGATCAAATTAGAATCATGCAAAACGTACGTTTTTTCGCACCAACTTGACACATTCTCTGGGGCAAACAAGAGCCTCGCTAGTCGCTATTGCGGAGGGCTTAGTTTTGTCTAGAGTTGATGAAGTCCTTTATTAAAAACGATCCTCCGACGACTAGAGCGCCCACGTCTTCTTGGCTCCTCAGATTCATCAATCCGTCCGCACTCCTCGTGACAATGTCGAAGTGGACCAGAATTAAGATAAGCGCCCTACCAACAAGGGAAGGTCGCGAAGTCGTAGTGGCCGATTGTTACAAGATGCTTGTTATCGCGAAGAACTTGATGCGCTGTCTAGTCGGTTTCCCTATACGTGTATCTTGTATAATTGACAGCTGGTTGAACTGTACAAGTCGACTTACGATTGATGTGACCAATCAAACTCGTGGTTAGACAGTAACGCTTATCACAGAATGGCAAGACAAAAACAACAAAGTTTCGAATGAGTTTCGAATGAGGGGTAAACACAACACCTAATTCGGTGAATGCTCTCTTTGAGACTGATTATTTTCTAAGCTCAAACGGACGGTCCACCTTGATTATGATTCGTCCCCTCTCACTGTCTTAGACTCCGATTTCTCATCGTCACTCAAAACCACGCACAATTTGATGATAAAAACGCCCATAAGTTCCCTGAAGCGTTCTGCAGATATGAAAGAAACATTTAAAATCAGCTTTCCAAGCTTTTTGTAATGGTATGCATTCTGTACTAATCAGGCACTTCCGACCCTCCCTTGTTAGCAGGTCAAGAAGATGTGCAGGAGCATCAACTGGTCCCACCAAGTATCAATTAACAAAACCATTGAAAATAAGATTAACTCATACAAATTGTCTAAAAAGAATTCGACAACAAGTTAGAACAACAGAAGTATTACAGTAGAGCTGCGACTTTACATGCACGTCCGACAAGAAAAGTTGTCTCGACTCTTACGGCATTGTTTTTGCTCCATTTGGAATCGCCCACAACCCAAGAAAAACTCTAGGACGAGTTCCGATACATACTGAACTGCATATTCAGCTTTCGGGCAAGCCCCAGGTCTCAAAGGCACCGTCTATCCGAATTCTCGACTTCCATGTTTTTGTCGCTTCCCGGCCTTCTGAAGGCCCTGATTTCGAATATGAAGTCGAGAATCCCAAAAAATCCTATTTTGTAGAAAGCGGGACGGGTGGAAATGCAGTTTGCAGGGCTGCGGCGCGGTTATCGCCCGGCGTATATCAGCGCCGCAGTCTCCAAAGCTGCAAAATGGGCAGAGTGACCAGCTCTGGATCACGTATCACGTACCTTCCAGAGCGGATTTCTCGCTCCGGAAGCAATCTTTTGCCGGGAAACTTGGGAGTTGACCTAGTGTGGGGGCCCACATTAGTATGCCATTGAATCTCGTGAACCCTCACTTTGGGTGGACGGTGCCTTTAACGAAGTCTTTGCATCGAACAAGCCCCGACCCTTATCGGCCGCCCATATCTCATCATGGTAAAGTCTTAGAGGGCGTCGTTTATATTGTGTCGGGCAAGCCCCTGCCCTTGTAGTACAAGACAATATTGAAAAAAAAACCGATTTTATTGTAGTAAGAGGATGACCGAGGTGCGATGCACGACAACGTTGAGGGTAGGAGCGTCACCGCGACGTATCTCACAAGAGCAACCTCTTCGCTAATAATTAGGAATTGTGGCATCCAGCGAGCCCCGAGTCTTGCAACAGCCACGTTGCTAGAGCAATATTCTGATCAGGACTTCCATGTAAGTTAAGAATTTTACTTACCTGGATAACAAGAAATATTATGCGATTTGTATGCGCCATCACTTGTCACAGTTGTTCGTTGACGAACTTAAATACCTTGAATCAGTGGCTTATTTAGAATTTCTGTGGCTAAATAGGAAAACTGATATGAAAGTGTGTTCGAGACAATCTTATGTCGTAGAATGCTGATTCTTCGACTAGAATTCAAGAACCTTTCTGACGAATTGAATGCACAGATTGCCTTAAGATGATTGGTGCTTACTCTCTAGATATTGGGAACTATTGCCTCACACATACGCGAAGATTGGTCAACGCTTTGAAACAGAGCACTCAGATCGGGTAAGTAACCATGGATTCATTAGCAAGCAAATTATCAGCGAAAGTGCAAACATTCTAGGCCTGAGCAGACCTGCATCACAGGTCTGCTCGGGCTTGGAATGTTTGCACTTTCTTTGATAATTTGCCAGCTAATGAATCTGTGGTTACTTATCATCCTTACAAGAGCAGCCCTTTGAAGTTTCTTGCATCACTTCGATAGAACGTTGACGTTTAGAATTATTGTCTGTAGTAAAAGTTTTTAGGTGCTATTCACAATTTGCAATTCCTTCTACCACCACAGCAGTAGAAGAAACATAGACAGTACAAAGTTCCGAAGAACTCATATAAGTAGCTCCTTTGGTGTTCGATTAATATCCCCAACAACTGTTACCAAGTAGCAAAAACTTAGTGATGTTTTTTCTAGGAAGAATCTGGAAGTTGTGCTTACCTAGATAACAGGCTTTTCTTTGTCAGGCTAAACAAAATGTTTTTAGCAAACCAATTTGTTTCAAAAAGAAATTTTAGTAAAGAGATTATTATTGAATTAATACGATGTAAAAGGAGGCTTCAACCGTCAAATGTGAAGAAATCTTTGGAGAGGGATGACAAACGAAGCGCATGCGTTGCCATCAGCGATGGCATTGGTGAAAACTGACGTCATCTGATAAGCCAAACATTTGCTTTTTGGGGACACATAAAAATGTGTGCTTATTACCACGATAAGTGTCCTCAGTTGACGTTTTATCACATCTAGCAATAGCTTCTAGAGCACTGTGAAAGGGTTGAAGATTTTTAAATATCCCGCTTTTTATCGATAAACACTTAAAACCACTGATAAACTCGGATTAAACTTCATCGTTTTTATTTCTATTAGGCGTACGATGTACGCGTTAAGCGGGTCAACTGAACGAAATGAATCAGCACTGGACAAACATTGACACTAGTCTACCACATAATGTGCAATGATGGTTTCATAAACATCTTGTTTATATGGATCAGCAGCACTGAGGGAGGAGTAACGTAGATGGGAACATGAAGAAGTTACACACCACTAGGCCGAGTGTGCATCGAGCCCCGACACCGAAAGCACGCCTGTAACTTCCTTATATACGCATAGCGACTGAGATCCTGTCCAAGCTGACTGCTAAGATAATAGTGAATGCTAAGAGGAAATCTAGCTTGCATAATTTCTTACTCTTGTCAGAAGGTTGATATCAAAAATACTTGTATCTACGGAGGAGTAGAACAATAGTCGGGGGAAAGATACATGAAGGATGCAGGGACCCGCTTCAGTGGTTGCAGTCCATGAACCTGCACAGATGTAGTGTCAAGCCTAACCCCTTCCAGTCAATCCTCTCTCTCTCTTTGTCTCTCTCTCCCTTTGACTGGAAGTACCTAGTCACATAAAGAAGAGTGCTGACGTGATCGGCTCCAAAAGAGCTCTTTTATATATATGAACTATGCGCCTACATGAAAGATTTTGCAAGTTAACAGTCATTATCTTCTCTTGCAGTAAGCTTTAATTTTAAGAACAAACCACCTTTATGCCAAACATCGGATTTTTGTGAATTATTTACTTCACAAAAGTGACAATAGCTTTGTCTTGTCCTCACCAAAACTACTCTTGTTTTTATTTAAGATGTTGACTTCATCTCATAGTGCACGATGTATGTGCGGCCAACCATCATGAGGGCTCCGTCCAAACTCTGCTTGCTGAAAGATTAAGCATTCTTCAGCATAAGGAAACCAACCAATGCGTTGTGCTTATCAATTTCTAAATTTTCTTGTCTTATAATAGAGCATTCTCTATTTCCTTCTTGATTGTCTTCTTCCATATAAAATGTTATCTTTATGATTTGTTATCGAACAAATGACTCATACACTTGTTGCTAGTCTAATTAAAATGGAATAAGATTGATTCTATACCCGTCACCTAATTTTGACTGGAAAGCTTCTGTGATTTGTCGCTTCCAAACGTTCTGCATAGCACATAAAGTAGGCCTTCGTCGTCTGGAAAACAAGGGCCAGCAAAGAATAGGTAGCATAAGCGAGGTGGTGCCCTCATATTCTTGAAGAGAGCTCCTTTTGATGCGGAAGTCGAATTCACTAGAACAAGCAAGATCGGCAAGATGGCTTGGGGGCGACAATCGTCTGGTCGGCTTTCCTTGCAGCAGAACTTTTTCATAAATCAACTACCTATGAGAACAAAAAAACCGACGGAATTGTCATTGTGGCTTCTCCTTACTCGCATGGTAAAAAAACTAACTCCAACAACCAAAGAATGAGCTCAGCTTATGTGAGGGAATTCAGCGATTTACAAGGACTGTACAACGACGATACAAGCGCCTATCATACTTTGTGATTATCCAGTCGTAATTTTGACAGTTCGCAATAAAGCCGAATCTGTTCACCACAGCAGTAGTGAGTACTCAACAGAATAACGCGAAAAAAGGCATATAACTATAGAAAGTTCTTTCACGTTCCATCGCTGTCTATACAGCTTTCTATTTGAGCGGTATCGTAGGAGTAGAGACGATGCTGAAGGATAAATGAGATGAGGAAGATACAGTGCAGTGCAGATCCGAAGGAAAACATAGTTTATGAAGAAAGCCCGTGAAGAGTTTAAAAAATCTGGATAGCACTCTATAACAAACACGTCTCCTAATGTGTATCAGGAGTGTTCGATAAACATAGAGAGGGATGAAAGAAAAAAATAACGAGACGAAGAGCAGGCTAAGCGGCCTTCGGTATTTCAGAGAACAACCACTTCAAGGATCCGAGACAGAGGTGCAATGAGAAAGATAGATCACGCTCACATGAAGATGGTCCCAGCTGCTAGGCTTCAGGAAGGTGTAGTTTCTAGAGCCCCTCTCGCAAAACTCAACGGAGGAGGAGAGGGAAGGAATTAACGCGAGTTTTGGTGGGAAAACTCGCGAATGACTCAGGGTTGTCATCCTCCAATCCAGATGAACCATACTGCCGTCATTTACTGCCACCGGCCTTCTTCAAAGACATAAATGTTGAATGCACTAGCATGACAATTTCAAAGTGTTTATCAGTTGTCATGTAGGGAATTGGTTTATCTACGGAAATTTGCGTTTAATCGAGGCGTATATAAGGTTGATACAGGAGTTTATAGCTGAAAGGTAGGATTTCAAGATTGAAACACAAAAATTATGTGAACTTAACTGTTTTCAGTCCTGCTAGTAAGAAGACTAGTAGTGCGACTTCATTGGTTTTAACGGGTAATCTATGTCACCAGAAAGCGAAAAAAGCAGGTCGAGTGCATGGCTGAGAACCATATTTCAAATGGTGGAAACTTGAGATTAGCTAAAATTTTAGCTCTTATTGAGCTCGTGCATGAGAGTAACAGCCAGTGCGTTCGTTCAAGTTCTAAGGAGTACTGCTGTATCGGAATGCAAAGAAAAGCTCAGTCTAAGAGTTCATCGCCCCAAAAGACTTTGAAAACACTTACCTTTTCTAATCATTCAATGATAGCTGACATTCCGACTCATGTAAATTTTGGACGTGAAGGTGTACGATGTTGCGACCTAGGTTTTATGCAGCCTTTGCTTTTCGGGCAGATCACAAAATCGAATAAAAATGCAAAAAAAATGCTTTTAGTACTTTCAGTCCTTAGACCCCCTCATCTCTTTGGTATTGAGAGCATTGAGATGTTTCAGACACTTAGTAATCAGCGCTTCCTTCGCCTTAAAAGTAGAAGAAGACTCTCTTCGATTTCATCTGGCAATTCTCACAACCAGTCCACTATTGAGAAGACGCACAGACCTCACTTTTATGCCGATGAGGCCGTCAAGCCCCCACACAATTTATATCCTGTAAGAACTCTTGAACAGATTTCTATAAATGAGGAAGTCGCATTCAAATGCACAAAGCCTTAAAGAATCTACAGGCTGCAAAATTTTATATCAGTCAGGTCCGATTTCTGGAATGAGTTCTCGGCGATCTCCTCTTGGACCATTATATAAAACCAACCTTCTCTATAGAACATAATTTCACACCCTCGCACTGAAGATGCATAAGAGTCAATATGCCAGCTCCATTGAGTAACTTATATCATCTTGTATCGATTCGCATGCTATCGCGATGACCCATCACGAGGGCGTGGGCTGGCATGGCTTGCCATCTTCAGACCGCCTACGGTGAGGGACACAGCCAACATTGTTCTCCTGAGGCGATTTTCTAGCTATTCTAAATGTCTATTATTCTATCTTGTCTTGGACAAATTGTAGATTGTCTACGCACTGTTTCCACCCGGTCACCATCATGGCCCTTAATGATGCACTCGGCGGCGCTACTTTCATGTAGACGAATTTCACACAGCAGTGATATCATTGTTTGGAAGTCGGTATCCGGGCTATACCTAACCTGGCTGTGTGAAAGAGTCTGAATACCAAGTTCTGAAGTTGTTTCTATCGCCGCTGGCCATTCCATTTGCCTAATTACTTTGAATAAATCATTGTGCTACACAATCAATACCTACCAAACCTGCTTCGGAATTCAGTTTCCGCAGCAAAACTTAAGCAATCACTTACGATTATCTATGGTCTCTGTATTATACAGTCTAAGAATTTCACCACCCCCGATTTGGGTGGGCAGTGCCTTGAAACCTTTCGTTTCAAGTACCCAATAGAAGCTAAAAATTTCGAATTCTTCTGCAAGATGATATAATAAACTAGTATTAAATTGAAATGATGTATTTCTATAGTGTAGTGCCATTT